GGGGTCTCTAAACTCAGACTTGCTCTCCTTTACTGCAGTCAGTCCACTGTGTGTCCAGGTGTTACCTGGCCCTGTTCACATTGCCTTGTGGAAATTGGGCCTTGGAGAATTAGCACAAAAATGTGATCCTCAGGCTGCTACTATTGCTTAATAAACTGTGTTCATCTCTTACCCCCGAGGTTCTTGTCTTCTACCAGCTCTCCTGACACCATGACAGGCTAACTTGTTTATTTGCAAATAGAGTAAAACCTTAGACCCCCCTCACAATTCTTGACAACATTCACTACTTCCCCTTTATGCTGTTGTTCATGTATAGTACATCTTTGTATATTATACATTCCACAATTCAGTATTATCTTTTCATTTAAATAGTGTATCTTTAAAAGTAGTTACAAGAGAAAATGGAGAAATATGTTTATTTCTGACAATTAAGTTCACAAACTCAACTTAGAAAAAGTGCTCCATACCTCATTGCTGAATATCACTACAGTCACCTTCGAAGTACTCCCCTTGGGAAGCTATGCACCAATGCCAGTGCCTAGTCACCTTTCAAAGCAATTTTGGAACTCTTGTTCTGGAATGGCCATCAGAGCTGTCATTGTATTACCCTTGATGTCCTGAATGCCATCAAAATGTCTTCCTTTCAATATTTCCTTTATCTTCAGTTAAAGAAAGAAGTCACTGGGGGCCAGATCAGGTGGGTAGAGAGGGTGTTCCAATACAGTTATTTATTTACTGGCTAAAAACTCCCTCACAGACAGTGCATTGTGTGATGCAAGAGCCATGAATTGGTGAAAAGTTCAGGTCATCTAACTTTTTCACACAGCCTTTTCAGCAATTCCAAATAGTAAACTTGGTTAACTGTTTGTCCAGTTGGTACAAATTCATAACGAATAATCCCTCTGATATCAAAAAAAGGTTAGCAACATTGTTGCAACAAGTTCAGGAACTAAATGGTCAGACCTCCTATGTACCCACATATTTACTATTTCTCCTGTACTTCCTTCCTTTTTGAAGATCTTAGTTACTATTTAGCATCATGGCCCTCCATTCTAAAGAACTTTTTCAGCATTCCTTTAGTGCAGGTATTTTGGCAATGTATTCTCTGTTTTTGTTCATCTGAAATGTCTTTATTGAGCATTTTTTGAGCATATTGTAGAATATGTACTGCATGTAGAATTCTGGCTTAATTTTTTTCAGCACCTTAAATATGGCATTATATGGTGTTTTGGCTTCCCATGTGTCTGATGAGAAGTTAGCCTTCATTTTGTATCACCTTTTCTCTAAATATATTTCATAATTTTTTCCCTTTTTTGTTTTTTATTTGACATGGGATCTTTTGAGGTTTTGGTCTCTGTAAATTGATATTTTTCACTAATTTAGGGAAGTTTTTTGCCATCGTTTCATCAGGTAATTTCCTGTACCATTCTCTCTCCTTTATTTTGTGGCTTGAAATACACTATGTTATACTACCTGATGGTCCTCGTCAGGTCTCAGCCCCTATTGGTTTTTCTTCATTCTTTTTCTTTCCCTTCTCCAGATTGAATAAGGTCTGTCTTTAAGTCCAATGACTCATTTGCTTTCTCTACTCTGCTGTGAAGCCCACTTAGTGAATTTTTCATTTCAGGTATAGAATTTTCATTTGACTGTTTTTTACAGTAACTGTTTTCTTTGGTGAAATCCAAATTTGTTCATTTATTATGCATATGTCATCTTTTAAGTTCTTGAAAATATTTATAGTTGCTTTAGAGTCTTGTCTGCTAATTGTATCATATGAATCATCTCAGTGTTGGTTTCTATTGACTATTTTTCTTTGAGTATGAGCACATTTTCTTTTTATGTCTAATGATTGGGTAGTGAACATTATGAATGATTATTAGGAAGACTGGATTCTTTCATATTCTTCTAAAGAGTCAGTTTTGTTCAGGAAGGCAGTTAACTTTGGCTAGATTCAAACTCCAAACTCAGGTTCCCCTCTGGTGGGCTGTAGGACCCCGCTGTGCCCCGAGAGTGCATCTTTTAGTAGTGAGCCAAGTTTTGTGGCCAATGTTGTATGCAAATTTGGGGGCTTATGCCCTTTGTAGTGCCTTCCTTTGCATGATTTCCCCCCTAACTTTTAAAAAATATCATTATTATTAGTTTTAGGTGCACAAAAAATGTAATAGTTAGACATTTCACCCCTCAAAAAGTGTTAACCCCCCTCCCCAATCTATTGCCCCTCTGACATCGTGTATATCTATTATAATTCCATTGACTCTATTCCCTATACCCTACTCCATATCCTGTGACATATATATATATATATATATATATATATATAAAATTATACTTGACATACAATATTATTCAGCTTCAGCTTCAGGTGTACAGCGCAGTGGGACTGCAAATTGGTACAGCCACTATGGAAATCAGTATGGAGATATCTCAAAAAACTGGAAATGGAACTACCTTACGACCCAGCAATTCCACTCTTAGGTATCTATCTAGAGAAATCCAAGACGCTAATTCAAAAAATATATGCATCCCCCTAACTTTCTGATTATACCTCCAGCCTGGACTCCATATTTATCATCTCAGGCAATCACATGTGCTGGTTTTTGCCACTGCCATAGGCAAAAAGCCACAAATTTGCAAATCTCACTCGTGCACTTTGTCTTTTAATGACAGGCTTCTCTTTAGTTTCTCCCTGCTTTTGTTTCCTCTCCAGAAATTAAAAATATTGAGTTTAAAAGATACCTTGTTAGATTTCATAACTGGTGAGGAGAGTTCATCTGACCAATTCTCTGCCATTACTACACTTTCTTTTTATAATTATCTCTGAAAAATTTGGTTTCTTAGCCCTAAGTAGAACAGTCCAAAGCTGAGTAATATAAATTTTATTCTGTAAGCAGAAAGTATCATCCAGAAATGCTTTACTGATGTTTGAAAGTTTAAGGAAAATTCTTTTTTTTTAAAAAAGACTGGATATACATAAATCTGAGCAGCTCGTAGTTTAGAAATAGCCACTTGTGAGAGTCAAGTTACTAATCATTAGTATAAACTTTTGTATATCAGGTTCAGGGATATATTTTGACCACTTTTTTCTATTATAATTTTAGGATGCCTTCTTGAAAATCATTCGAAACGAGGGCATGAAATCCCTGTGGAGTGGCCTTCCCCCTACCTTGTAAGTTGAAATTTAATATTTTCTACTAAATGATGGTGGTTGTTTTGTTTTGATTTATAATCAGCATGATTGGACAAAATTAATATTTGAACTTTTTCATTTTCTAAAGCATTGTTTTGTGAGTCCCACAACCGTTACCCACACATTTGATGATTTTGCTACAAGGACTCACAGGACCTAAAGGAGGTTAGACTCACATCTGTGTCTTATTTATTGCACAATCGGGAAGGGGAAAAAGACACAACAGAAGTTGACCAGGCAATAGACTCCGGAGTCTTCCCTCATGACATTGCACAGGATGTGCTCATTCTCTCAGCGTTGCAGCATGTGCAGAGTATTTCTACCCTAAAACGCACTTGAATTTTAGAGTCTAGGGCTTTTATTGGGGGTTGATGGATAGGCACATTCCATCTTTGTGACCAGCTCTGATTATCAAAATGCCAGACCCCCAAAATGAAAGCAGATGTTTACCACAAATCACATCATTTGCACAAATTAACCTAGACAAGTTGGTTTATCACTCCAGACATACAAAAAAAAAAAACTAGAATAGGGAATATTCCAAGGGCTGAATTTCTTGGAGTTGGCCAAAGGTCAAGCATGCAGATACACCCTCCTAAATACATAGAAGTTTTGAGCAACCAGGCCCTTCTGTGTTGTCCTTGGTGCACAAGCATAACTTTTTTTCATGTTCAGAAATTAAGAATTTGTGGTTTGACTTTTCTGTTTATTTTACTAAAATAATGAGATATTGAGATAGGTGTATTTTACTTTTTCCAGATAATTTTAATTCTCTACTATCTAACTATTATATGAATTAATATGATAAACTATTAAGGCTGAATTTAAAAATCCCAACTAATACCTTGCCTTTCTGTATATCATTGCTTTCTAATTTATTTTTTTATGCAGCAAATTAATTAACTTTGAGGCATATATTTAAACAGTGCCTAAGATTATAAAGTTAGTGGCAGATCTAAAACTAGAAGTGAGTCCTATTTCTAAATTCTCATCATCAAACTTCACTATAGAAAATTAGGCATTCCCAAGTGTGGTCTATATGAATGTCCTTTAGTTCTTAAACATGGATTGGTTTTTTTGTTGCATTAATATTTATGATATGACAGTGTCTGCAACTTTGTGTTTAATTAGTAATTCCCTTCTCATATTCCCATTTGAAAAATTATGTCATTGGAATTTCCTCACTATAGTATATATAATTTGGCAACATTAATTGTAATTTATTTCCAGTTATAAACAGGTATGCTATGTGGTCCATAGTTCAAAAATATTTTACAATTGCTCTTGTACTTTTTACTTCAATGATTTTCATGTTATGGTAAATATAATTGGGAAGGAAGATTTGGAAGACCAAAAACAGAACAGGTGTAGGAGACAGGGAAGTGTCCTCATTTGTTTTTTCCTATTTATGCCCTGACCAGGTTCTCTGTAACTTATTTTCACAACTAGACTGTAAACTTCTGGAGGGCAGATACCTATTTTACATTTTGTTGTGGCTTATTAAATGAAAGAAAAATTTATCTCATTGGCTGATTCGTTGTGGTTTTCAGCTCATACAGAATATAAGTATTTTAGCTTGTATTTAATATGTTTAAGCCTTTTGATGATTATGTACAAATCTTTTTGTGTTTCTAACAGAGTGATGGCAGTTCCTGCCACAGTTATTTATTTCACCTGCTATGATCAATTAACTGATCTTCTGAGATGTAAATTCAGAGAAAATCAAAGCCACATACCCATTGTTGCTGGAATTGTGGCCAGATGTAAGTAATAAATTTACTATATTTTCATTTTGATTTCTGTTTAAAGCTTCCTTTAAAAATTTGACATTCACAGAGAATTTGTATAAAATACAGAGTATTTGTAATATATATTTTGCATTTGTAGTCTGTATTTATTTGTTAATATTTACACTCTAGAAGTCATATGATATGGTAATTGCTATCAGAATGCAATGGGATCAGCTCATCCCTGTTGAATCCTGGACAGACATTTTAGATTCTAGATTTTAGGATGACATCAGATTGATGTCAAATTGATGCCAAATTCCTGAATCATTTTCCTTACAGGATTTTGAGATTCAGAGTTTAGTCAGAAAGAAATTTGCCTCTATACAGAAGGACTTTTTTCTCTGCAATTGGTAGTGACATTTTTGTAGTAGTCCCTGCTGATTTATATTTCTGGAACTGCCCTTAAAATAGCTGAAACCAGAAAGACTAAGGTACATGAAGGCAGACTTTTAAAGAAATACCTTTATTAAGAAAAAAAATCGGTACCAATATGTTGGCATCATTAGATACTTGATTTTAAGGTTTGCAGACATTTCAGAATAGAAGTTTAAAATATAAAATGCATTAAATATTAATTATGCATGTGTTTGCAGAGTACATGGCTTTGTTTTTGTTGTTTTTATATTTGCCTGTTTGTATTAGTCGGTGCAGTAACTGTGATAAGTCCATTAGAATTGATTAGAACCAACATGCAATCTAAGAAGTTTTCTTACAAGGAGCTGCATCAGTTTGTCAGCAAGAGAGTGTCTGAAGATGGTTGGATTTCTCTTTGGAGGGGCTGGGCCCCCACTGTTCTTAGAGACGTACCATTCTCAGGTAGGATTTACCTTATCAGTCAGTGTCTGCTAAGTTCTAGGTAGCTTTGTCTTATTAATGTATTACTTTTAAATCAACTAAATTTTAAACCCTTTAAGGCTAAAGGTAAGAAGCTATTATCTTCTTTAGTAACCACAAACTCTTAGTTCAGTGTTGGGCTCTCAGAGCTTTATGAATCTTTATATTCAATAAATGACTAGTTTCTAATTCAAGCCTGGTTTTCTTTTCTCCGGTGTTTAATTTGTTTTTTAGACATTAATTAGTATGTATTTATATTTTGATAATACAAATTATCTTTAAAGTTATTCTAAATAAGTCATAATTAGTAATGTAAGTAAAGTACAAATCAAAATACAATAAAATACATTTATGACTACCTGTAAATTATATTGACTTCTACATTTTTCAATTACTAAAGATAATAATCTCCCCCATTAAATAAGCGTCCTGTAAACAAGACTGTTATATAGGGGATGGTGCTAATCATTGAATTATGAAAAGAATGAAAAAGAAGTGTAAAACTAACAACTTGTAGACTGTGCATACTTCAGTAGTATTTTATTTCTCTTGTGGATCATAGGAGTTTTCATTTAAGAGCTGAAAGAAATAATTATTGTGAACCCTTGTATTAATGTTTCCCTCCTTTCCCTTTTGAGTTAGACCTTTTCTCGAGCTCTCTTATTCACATCTCTATGCATTTTTCCCTTTTCATTCATATTTTTCAACATTTTGTGCTCAGTTATGCTGTTCAGAAATGTACAGTGTGTAATTAATTATATATTCCTAGGCAAGCTATATTTTTTATATTTGATACAGAAAAATATAGATATAAATTATGAAGTATACTAATAAAATGATCACTTGTGAAGTCACCACTTGAAAATATGAACTAGAACATTGCAATTTTTTAAATCATGAAACCACATATATCCCCTTCCATTGTCACATCCCCCAGTGGTTACCACTATCCTGAATTTTTCTTTATCCTTGATTTGATTTTCTTTTTTTTTTTTTACAATATTTTAAATAGCAGTGTTTATTTACATTCCATTTACTTTCAAAAGGATGAGGAGGCTGGAGGAAATATATTTAGAAAGGAAGTAGTCTCATTTTACTTAACCCATTTGTGTTTTTCATGGAACAATAAAGATTTGACTTAGAATCACATATATAAAAGGACAGAAAGAATTTATCCCTTTCAATTTTCCACCTCTAGCCAGGCTGAAATTATACCACTCCTGGCAGATGAAAATATACTCTACTTATAGGTAAACACCAACTAATATATATGTCATAAAAGAACCAGCTTTAGTAAAATCTGTCCTAATATCCAACAAATCTGCAATAAAAGATACAGCCATCATAACATAGGACATTTAAGAATCTTTGTGCAACAATGAAAAACAGAATTTACACAGGCGATATCACAATTGGCTATTAAGTCAATAGCATCACAGTAACAGTACCCAGTGTCTTTCATATTCAAATAGATACACACTATTTTTAAGACTTGGTTTTAATAAAGACATCAGTAACTAGGATGCACACATAGCTATTTCATAAACACCATGAAAAACAACAAATAAAAATACTCTTAAATTTTCTAGCAATTACAAACATGTTAACATTACCATTATATATTTGTGTCATAATTTTTATTTGACTTTTACACTTTAAAAATAGCTTTGAGGTTTAGAAAAAATACTGATAATGGCTCAACATTTTTTGAAGTCAGATCATCTTATATTTCAGTAGTCTGTATTTTCTGCTCTTCTTTTTTCTATACTCTCTAACAACCCACTTACTAAAAATAACAGAGCTCTCTAATGGCTATGGAAGCATTACATCCGAAAACTTCTAGTTCTGTGAAATGGCTGGAAAGGGTTTTTTAGTGCCCACATTAGCAGCTGTGGTTTTGGTTTTGGTTTTTCAGGAAACAGAAGTGCTTCACTTTCTGGTGTAGGAAATCGTTCTTGGTACACTTCAGGATAGGATTTTTGAAACTGCTTCAATTTTTTCTTCTTCTCTTTGTTGGAGAGTTTGGCATCTGTGATGACTTCCTCCAGCAATGCTGCTAGCAGCTCTTGAGAGCCATATGCTCTCTGATATTCAAATTCCTCTGGGCTGATTTGACGGCAAAATGATGGAGCAGGTAAAGTGATATCCATGTCGGCTCCTGGGTATTTAATCTGGACTCTTCGTAGATGAGCCACACGCTCCTCTATGGAGGTCTGCAAGGCCAAAGGGACTTTCAGAATCTCTTGGTAATTGTCCATCAGAAATGTCACCAACCTAGCAGCTAATAACTCATCCAAGTCCACTTCATCCTTGGAACACAAGATGCTACGAGAAAATGTCTGAACCATCAGTGTTCGGGCACCAAAGCCATCACAGAGTGGTGGCATCTCCTGATTCAAACAGACCCTTGCCATCATCCTCATCAACAGCTGTAACTGTCTCCTATTTTCAGGAGGCAGGAGGAGATAGCAAATCTGAAATGCTTCAATGGCCATTTCCTCTTTCTGTAACAAACCTAATACACTGACAAAGGCATCAAAAAGATGAAATGTAAGCAGAGCCTCTTTCAAGTGACCATAGTAATCTGCTATAGTTTTGAAGACATCTTTTTCAAATCCTAAGTACATAGGTTGCTTTAAATCTGAACAATTAGGCCAATTTGCCAAACTCTTCATTGCTGACAGTACCCAATGAGGAAGTTCTTTTGACTTGTCATCAAGGATGACAACTCCCTGTTTGCTCACACTATATACATTATGGATGATGAACTTGGAGTTGACAAGTTTAACATCTAAAACTTCTTCTAAAGAATCTAGTCCAAGGCTCTTCTGTAAGTATGATAATGTCATAGACTTCCATATCTCTTCTTCGTTGGCCTCTGTCAGCTGCCTGCGGGAGACAAGACGACAAGCTGGCACCTCTCCAATAGCAATACTGTGACACTTGAACCACATCTCAGAATTCAGCACAGTGGGCCTCACTGGGATGTTCTCCTGTGAAGTGCCTCGTGGGGGGTCATCCCATTCTGGAAATTTAATAACTTCTTTTGGATTTGGGGGTCTCTTTGGATATGGTTTCAAGGGTGAAGAAGGAGGAAATCTGTACAAGTGACCATTGTCTTCAAAATCTTCCTGACCCCATTTTCCCTTGATGTCTTCAATAACATGATTCTTCAGAAATTTTTTAAGAAGCTGGACCGTTTGTTTGCGGGTCACTTCAGGGCCAAAGTTTTGACTGCAACTCAGCAGCTCGTGTAGCCAATCCACAGCTTCAGCCACCGTGAAGTAATGTTCATAACTTTTGAGATGACAGCGATGTTTCCGCAATGGAATCCTAGCACGAAAAAGCTCAACTGTTTCATTCCACAGCTTGGTGGCCCGGTATGGCCCAGGGCCCATGATGGGGTGCTCCATGGTCCGCACGCAGCGGCCGCTGCGGCCGCGACAGCTCAGTTCTCAGCCTTGATTTGATTTTTAAAACTAGTTTTAACCACATATGTGTTACTGCTAAAGAGTATATTATTTAGTTTTGCCCATTTATGTGTTTTAAAAATTGCTTATTTTACTAGAAATATTCTTAAGATTCATTCCTATTTTTATGTGTAACTTCTCTTCATTTTTATTCTTGTTTATGAATAACCAAGTAAACAGTGCTGCTGTTAACATTTTTTAAGCCTCTTAGTGTACGAGAAATTTGTCCAGTATTAGAGTTGCTAGTTTACATATATACATTTAAAATTTTATTAGGAAATATCAAACTCTTTTCTAAACTGATTGTGCATATCTACACACCTACCAGCGTCCTGCTGCTTCACTTCATACCCTCACCAGCACTTTGTCATAGTTCTTAGTTTTTATTTATCTGGTGGTTCAAAGTGGTTATCTCACTTTAACTTATATATTCCTGATTATTAATGAGGTTGGACCCTGTTTCATTGGCCATTCATTTATTCATAATTGATTTGGGGTTATGGACTGAAATAAGTATTCAGTTTCACTTCCCCCCACAAGTGGAGAGTTATCCTAGCATCGTTTATTAAATAACCATACTTTCTCCAGTGATTTGCAGTGTCACTTCTGTCATACCAAGTTTTCATGTAAGCATGGATATCTGTGTCATTGTCCAATTTCCTGTGCTAATCCCATAGTATTGTCTAAATTATTAGTGCATTATAAAAAAATCTTTACAATACCTTATTTTCCCCCTAGGGATGTCATATATCTCTTTATTACATAACTCTAAAGTGTTTTAGTAGATTTAAAATTTTCTTCATAAAGGTTATATACAATCTTTTTAAAGATGATTTATTTATAGGTACACCCACACATCCCCAACTTTTGGTAGCTATTTTTAAATCTCTATTTAAAAAAAAAAATGTTTTCTAAATCTTTATGGCTGGTGCAGTGTTACAGTTGATTTTTGTCTACTAGCTTATATTCAGCTGCTTTTAAAACTCTGTTATACATTCTAGTTTGTCTGCATATCCTTTGGGTTTTCTATATAGACAGTAATATGCAAATTCTAACTCCTTTGTTTCTTCATTTTTAATATTCATAGCTTTTATTTTCTTTCTTACTGTACTGCCTAGGACCATTTTGAATAGTAGTCATGATAATGTGGCATCCCTACCATTTTCCTCACTCTAAAGGAAATAGTCCTGTTGTTTCACCATTAATAATTATTTTTGGTATAGGTTCTTGCTGCATATCCTTTATCAAGTTAAAGAAGTCCTCTTTTAACCCTAGTTTTCCAAGAACTTAGTTTGCTTAAATGAAAGTGTGTTAAATGAACTGCTTTTCCATCTTTTTAGATTATCCCATGGTTCTGTCAGTGGTGGTGTGTGGCATCCAACGGGTTTCTTATATTTACTACTTTTGCATTCCTCGGATAACCCAATTTAGTCATAGTGTATGATCCTGTATGAAATACTTCTGGCTTAAGTTGCTTTTTATTAATTTTTGTAGGATTTTACACATATATTCATAAATGAGATTGGCCTATTACATATCCTTTCTCCTACTATCTTTGTCAGGTTTTGGAATTAAACTCCAAATTCCACTGATGCATATTTTTTTGTTTATTAGCCTGCTAGAATATTACTGAAAATTTGGTTCCTTTTTTTAATCTCACCTAGTGTGTTCTGAACAGAAAGCAAGTTATGTCAGTGTTAGACTTTCTCTTTAATATATAACCTCATAAATATTTTCTTTCAAGTCCTGCATTTCATTTCTAAATATGTGTTCATTTCATTCTCCGTTTTTATAGCAATGTACTGGTATAACTATGAAGTTTTAAAGAAGTGGTTGTGTGAGAAATCTGGCTTATATGAACCAACATTTATGATCAGCTTCACTTCAGGAGCATTGTCTGGTTCTGTAAGTATATTCTTTTGTTGCTAATATGGAAGAATAATGATTGTCTTATTAAAACTGAACAAAATATTATATAGCATTCATGTCTGTTGAGATAGCACTTTTGGGCTGCACAGCTTTGAAAATTTCTATTTACTAGCCTATTTTGAGGAAATACATTATTAGTCATTCAAATATTTTAAAATGCATTTTGTATCTGTGTTTTTATTATATTGCAAATACATTATATTTTTCTGGACAACTTTTGGAGTTGTTAGATAACTACAGCTATGATAATGATAATAGATTAAATAGTGCTTTATTATTTACAAAATATTTGGCAATTTGTTCGTTAAATGCCAGTAGGCCTGGTTAGATGATATTTAATGGAGTGTCATCTCATATGTATAATTGGATTGAATAGAAATAATTTCCTTTTCTGCTAATTTCTATTTCTTTGGGAACATTTTGGCTTAAAAGAATTTTAACAAAAATTACATTCAGAAGGGAGGAATCTCAAATGACTATTTTTAGGTAGTAGAGAGTTCACCTTTTCCCACTCCTCCACATAATGAAAACTTGTGTTGCGGACTTCCTTTATGCAGATTGATTTCACCATTATCTTGGCCACAAAGATTTTTCTTACACGCACATACTTACAAAATGAGTTTGTGATGACTTAGAGTGAGGTGCTGAGAAACTGGAACCAAATGAAAACAAGAGTGAAGGAGCAGTGAGGTGATGGAGACCTGCAAGAAAATATTGCAATAATTGTATCAGAATACCTAGGCTATGAAAGCCATTGTGATTGAGTTCAAAATTTAGCTATGAATATTCCCAGATCTGAGATCTGTGAAACTAATCACAGTAGTGGGTTATAAGCCCACTGAGGAAAAAAAATTTTTTTAGCAATTTAAATAATTATAGTGCCAGCAAAATCTTCTCATTATCTCTCTTATTTGTGAGGTGATTAAATGTAACTTAATTGTATTTATCTTAATCCAGCATGAATGAAGAACAAGTACTAACAGTTGGTATTATAACACCAATTCCATACTTAACTTACAAATAAATACTTAATAGCTAAAATAGTTGAAAAATGGCTTTAGCCTGTCTTATCAGCTTTCCTGTAATATGAAGGGAAAGTTTTGTATTTTAGTATTTCTCTTTAACATAGAAAAATTATTTAAAAATTTTTAATGATCTATAAAATATTAGTGCCTTTTGACTGTTGTCAAAGAAAAATTTGTGTCTGCAATAGAAAAAAACGTGTTAGTGTGACAATGTCCGGGCTTCCTGTCAGAAAACAGAGTAGCCTAAACCACATCACCTCAGAAAGTGTAAGAGGTTTATATAAAATTTTGCTACCTTTTGCTACTATATGCTACATTGTGGAGATGGAGAAACAATAATTGATTTTATCTTACCTGAGATCTTTGAAACTGACTTAATTTCAAGAATTTAAATCAACATTCTTGGGGTGAAATAAACTATTAAGTCATTTTAAGGGTCATTTTATGAGAATGTTGGTCAAGTGTGAGCTGGGAAGCAAAAAATAAATAAAAAATAAAAAGACCAGGTTTTATTGCGCATGGCTATAATATAAAATATTATTAGACATTCTTAAGGGAGTTTAATTATTTTTTTTAAAAGACCTTCCTTTGCTTAATTTTGTTTACTTAGGTCATTATGGAAATAATTGCTAAGTTGATTCATTTTGAGATAAGTTTTCAAAAATGTGACTTGAATTATTATAACTATGTTTGATAAATATGTTGAAACCCATAAAAAAGGTATTTAGAACTAAAAGTTCAAAGTCCATTTTCTTTATTTAAATTTAATTTTTTATTTTATTTCTTGAACATTTGTTGGAAAATTTTAAATGCTTGCTAGATACTTGAGAATTTTTGCTGTAAAATATGTATTATACCTTCATGTGAGGAGTAACGGAACACACAGGAGCACCAGAGATTGTGAACATTGGGTTTAGAGTCAGAGAGGTCTGGTTGGAATTCTGACTCCAGAACTACTAGTTGTGAGACCTCAGGAAAGTAGGGGAACTTTTCTGAGATTTTACTTACTCCTGAATTTTGGGAGAAATACATAAGGCATGTATCTGTTTTCTTTAATAAAAGCTGCTTTTTAATATATCTGGTTGTGTTTTCAGTTTCAGTTTAGTTATGATATTCAGTATTATCTGTATTAAGTAACGTGCAAAATAGAATGTAAAAATATTTTAGAAAAAATTTAAAGGTAGATTTAAATTAATCAATTTTACTTTTTGATAGTTTGCAGCTGTTGCAACTTTACCATTTGATGTGGTAAAAACACAAAAACAGACACAACTTTGGATGTATGAAAGTCATAAAAGTAAGTTTCATTGATTTAAAACATTTTCAAGGTGCCATGAAAATTTTGTTTTTCTTTCCAGATATTAAGTTAGGAATATCTAAAATAGGAATAAGATTTTTTCCCCCCTCTGCCTTACTTTTTAACTGAAACTAATACACTGTTAGAATAAAACACCCAGAAAAAAGTATTCTAAATCCAAATAATAATAATTTAAGAAATCTCAAAGTCTGTATATGTTGCCTGCCATCAGTTAAGTCTCATACCTGCTGTACAGAAGATTAAATTAGATAAATTTTTTTTCCCCAAATAAATCGAGACAAATCAGGATGAAGGATAGTAAATTACTGGGAATCCTTTTTGTTTCATTATTATGTATAGAATTCTTTGTTCTTTTTTTTTTTCTGGTTTATTTTTTACCTCCTTTTTTTTTAATCTGTTTTTTTCCTTCCTATTACCCCATCTACCTTTACTTCTTTATAACCTGTAATTTCTTCTAGAACTAAAGTGTACGCTTAGTTGCATCCATTAGATCCCGTCATCATCATTTATCTGTAGAAAGTGTAGCAAACCCATTGGAAATTATCCATTACAAAACTGCGTCGCGTAAGCTTTGTGATAAGCTCATTATAATGTAAAATAATTCTTGTAACCCACCAGTATAGTATTTGGCATACAAAGTAAAACACGTATTCTAATGTTGAAAGAAACATTGATTACAGACCTTTGAAAATGAGTCTGATAAATATTAGTGATAACTCTGTCTTTGACTTACCAAAATCTTAGTCCCTTCTAATGTTAGAAGTGAACTACACCTGAAACCTGTGTAACTTTACTAACAGTTGTCACACCAATAAACTTTAATTTTAAAACAAGAGAGACAGAGAGAAGTGAACTAAAACATAAGAGGTAATCAAAGTTTATTATCAGGGTTTTCTCACGTCCCTCTTTAGGGTGTCAGCCTTTTGGCTGCCTAAGTCCTGTTCAAAATTATTTTGTTTCCATCTTTCTTCCAATTCATCAGAATTCCTGTTCCTCTGCTAAGTGAAAATAGTAGGAATAGTATTGAAAATACTAGGAATATTCCTTTGGTGTAATTTATCATAAATGATTGATGACTGTGGTTGTGATGGTGGTCGTATGGTGGTCATGGTCATGGTGACAACTAAGGTAAAAAATGGGAATCTCATGGGCTGGACAAGTGGCTCAGTTGGTTAAGAGCTCGCTCAAGAGTGCGAGCTCTGAGCAACAGCAGTTCGATGCCTGGCCTGAGCTGAGCTGCTGCTGAGCTGCCAACAGGTGGCAGGATGGCTCAGCTAAAAAAAGAAAAAAAAAAGGGAATCTCTACAAGTAGATTCTTATGCACACTAAAGTCTGAGATCCACTTATGTAGGTAAATAATCACCGGAGTCACCTGCGGTGCTTTTCCACTACACGAAAAGCTGAGCACCACCCTTAATGGACTCCCATTTAATAGATCTAAGGTGGGGCTCTAGCTTGTGTATTTTGGAAATGTTCCCTAGGTGACTGTGATTGTACATCCTCAGTGAGTGGCACCAGGGGGCATCTTTTTTTTTTTTAAGATTTTATTTTATTGGGGAATTGGGGGAGGGGAACAGCGCTGGGGAATCTGGGGAAGGGGAACAGACAAGTTGCTGACCTTTTTGTTCTTCAGTCTAGTTGTGGAGGACGTCACTTCACTGGCCCATGTTGGTATTATCTTCCTGAGTGAGGCAGTTGCTCGCCTGCCATTGGATGGCCGCTCACGGCTGCTCTTGGCAGCTCACGAAAGCTCACACCAGCTGTTGGCTGCTCACGCTGGCTGCCAGCCACACAAGGTAGCTTATGGCAGCCTACTGCAGCAGGGGCGACAGTGTACACCGTTGCCGGTGACTCACAGCAGCCCAGCTCCAGGTCGAGCTGTTGTTCACCATCTTAGCTGTAGAGGACAGTGTCACTGGCCCTCATGTGGGATCTGAACTGGGGCCCTGCTGCTCAGAGCTG